GGATTATCACTTTCTTCGCCAACACATCGACAGCGGAGCTATTATCATCACTCACATATGTTCTGCTGATCAGCTCGCCGACATCTTCACTAAGCCTCTTGCCATCACCAGATTTCAACTCCTCCGTGACAAACTCATCCTTTCTTTACATACGGATCAGTTTGAGGGGGGATAATAGGTGTAACGGTTAGATCCGTACAATGTATCTTAGGCTTCTTTGTAATTACCTGTTGCTTATTTTGTCTTTAGTCTATATATACTTTATTTTGTAACTTTAACAGATTAAGTAATACAATTCATATTTTTCCTATCTGCTATGTCCACCTTCTTCTCCTTCTTCGTTTTCATTCTATTAAATGTATGTCATGTTGATATATTTATCAAATCTCTTCCAAACAAATCTTTTCATTCTTCAATCTAAATTGAAGATTCTAAGCGACTCTTTAATTTAAGGGAAGATGATAACATATTTCATTATTGCAACTAATGATATTTCAAAAAGCTGCTATTCTTTGTCATCTTGCAATCACTAATTATACTATGCTTATCTCTGTCGTTCATTTACAACAACACATGCATCTCAACCCTTCATCTCTTATTTATGTTATGAACAGTTGTTGCCTTTCTCATATAAGGCCATTTCATTTCACTATTGAAGGTTAGTGAAATGAATAGGGTTGATTCCTCTAATTCTTCTCCTTCTTCTTTTCTCTACTAAGTTTCGTATTGCAGGTTGAAGTGAAGTAAGTTATCAAGGATAGATGGTCTGCTGAATTATTTTTCTTAAAAAGGAGAGAATGACGACTAAGAAGATAGGTATTAGCCTCAGTAGAAAGCGAACGTCTGACAATGGTGGTGATCTTGAGCGTCGACCTAGTTTGTAAGGCCAAGCATTGACATTGGTGATGACGTCAAACACTATCTATGGTAGCAATAATGGGCTTCAGCCATCAAGCGACGATCAAGCGACGATGGTGTTATTGTTGGCGTTGGTGTTGATAATGGACATTGATATTATGGTGACGAGAAGTGTTAACCTTAACGAAGTGGCTATAGCATTGTTGTCAATGATATTGATACATCCTCTAAAATTTATTCTGATCGGGCACGAATCTCGAGGTAAAATCAAGTTGGAAACTTCCAAAATTAAAATTGGGACCGTCCGAACTCCGATTTTAGCAAACTTAAGTCAAACTAAACGTCTCATAAATACGAACCCAATGACACCAAATTCGACTCAATTCGAGCCCAAATGGGTCTGAATCGAGGGTCCGAAGAGTTATTTGAAGGTTCAAACCAATATTTAGATTACCAAACACTTTCCAAACGTGACATGCTTATAGTCTAATCAAGCAGCTCGACAAGATGAATCCAACGAGCCTAAGATTGCAGAATTCCGACATCATTAAGACCTTCAAATATCTAACGAATGGTCCACAATCAAGGGATTCAACATCGGCCATCCATCCAAATCACTCCATATTTGCCCTTGATTTTCCTCTTATTTACGGGCCATGCCACTCTAGGAAATTTATAAATAGACCCTCATCCCTCTTGAAAAGGGACCCTAAGCTAAAGGATTCAAGAGAGATATCAGAGATCACTCTTGCCTCCTTGCCTCCTCAACCACTGCCAGATCACCACTTGAGGCCCTCACTTCCGCATGACCACTACCTGAGGCACTGAGCTCCGCCGGACTACCACTTTGAGGCTCTAAGCTCCATCGGACGACCATTTGAGACCCTCACTTTCGCCAGACCACCACCCGAGGCATTCACTTTCTCCAGAACACCACCTGAGATCCTAAGCTTTGTCGGACCACCACTTGAGGCCTTGAGCTCCACCAGACCACCACCTAAAGCCCTAAGCTCCATCGGACCACTGCCTAAGGCCTGAGCTCTATCGGACCATCGTTTGATGCCCTGAGCTCCGCTTGACCACCACCCGAGGTGCTCACTTCTGCCGGACCACTACTTGACACTATGAGCTCCACTGGACCACCGCCTGAGGCCCTGAGCTCCGCAGGACCACCGCCTGAAGCCCTGACTCCGCCAGACCACCACCTGAAGCCCGGAGTTCCGTCAGACCATCAAGTGACGCCGGACTATCATCTATGTTTGTCTATATATTTCAACTTTTTAGTTGACATTTGTAATCTGATAGCCCTCAAGGATGAGTCAATCTGCTGTAATATACTTAAATTCTAGTGGAATCATTTTCAACTGGGCCAGGCCCCGTAGTTTTTCCCCTTTCTAAGATTTTTCATGTAAAAAATTTGTGTTCTCTATGTGTGAGATGGATATCCGTGCGCTAAGACGTATGATCATAACTCTATCGCCGAGTATATTCTAGCACGTAGCAGATAACATTGTTAATTATGATGGGCATTGACGTTGTTAGAGAAGATGAGGATTAACATCATTGGTGATGGTGGACGACCTTGCCATTGGTAATAATGAGATTGTTGGCAATGATATCGACAATGTCGTTATCTTTAACATCGTTAACTACTATGAGTGATAACATTGTGGGATATGATGGGCATCGACATTGCTAGAGAAGCTAGATGAGGATTAACATCATTGGTGATGGTGGATGACCATGTCATTGGTAATAATGAGGTTGTTGGCAATGACAGAAGTTGGCGTTATGACGAATATGAGCAAGGGTGGGCGCCCACGTGCATTTGATATGTTTGGATTATTTGATTTACAAATTAGCTAAAGTAATTAATTTCATATATAAAAAAATAGAAAATCAAACCAACCAAACTAAATCTAACTAAACTTTAATTTGATCAGTAAAATTTAATTTTGGATGAACCAAAATGTAATTAATTTTAACGGTTCATCTAATTATCTTTAGAATAATATCAAATAATCTTTGTTAAAATTTATAGCTTTGAGATGTGGAATAAATAATATCCAAGTTGATATTTATATCACTTATTTATTTACATGATTTTATTAATTTAATCTTAAAAAAATTAATATAATTCAATTTTTTTATTTAGTTGATCTTCGGAAGCAAAATCTAAGCTAATAACTAAAAATAAAATAAAATTAATGCTTCGTTTGGGACGGCTTTTTTATTGCTTTCTAAAACGGAATTTTAGTACAAAATTTTTTATTTTTGTATTAAAACTCCGTTTTAGAAAGCAATAAAAAAAACCGTCCCAAACGAAGTCTAAAATTGCAATCAATAACTGAACCAATTCCTTAATAATCGAACATATACTTCACTAATCGAATCAAATAAATCAAATAAGATCGATTCTATTCGATCTATTTTTTAGATAATATCTAATCAAGTAGGACCCATAAAATATAGTTGTCTTTGCTTCCAATCAAGATACATAACGTTTGCACTTTGCCGGCAGCGGCACCCAGGAATTCAAATTATTTTTAATTTAATATTTTTTTTTCATATTAAGTGCCGAAGCATATTATTTACCTACATTATTATTCGAATGCGGAAAATGGGTGTAAGGTTTTATTTGGGATAATTTTTTTATTATTTTTTCAAATAATTTTTTTTAAAAAAAATATTATTTTAAGTAATATTAAATAAGTCATGACAAACGAAGCTAAGTGAGTTCATGAGCTGGTCGGATTAGACTTCATAGATAACTCCTGAGTCAAATTTAATAAGCTATCAAGTCAAATTTAAGTCAGCCCCGACTGAATTGATTGCTGATTAGCTCGCTAGTCCGCGAGCCGAAAGTTTCCGGCCGCTCAGCCACCGTGTCCGTCTTTGCGGCTGAAGTGTAATCAACGCAGAGAAGAGTGAAGCGATTAAGCGTCGTTTAGGAGAGGGGCTATTCTGTAATTTAAAAATCCAACGCTTTGTATTTCGCGTTGCTGTAATTTTAAATGTTTTACCTCTTCTCTGTCTTCTCCCGTACGCCGCTGTTTCTTCCACCGGAAGAAGCTCTGACTCCAGACTCCAGTAGTTTGCTCACCGCAATTCCAATTATAACACCATGGCTTCTCTCCCCCGCTTCGTCATTAGAGAAGTAGAAGAAGAATAACAGGAAGAATAAAGAAAAGGTTGAACAAGCAGCCATGTTTTACTCACTATCTCTTCTGTCGAGGAAAGGACCTTTGGGCACCATTTGGATTGCCGCATACTGCTTCAAGAAGCTCAAAAGGGGGCAGATTGATTCTACTGACATTTCTTCAACTGTAGGTATTGGCAACCTTTTTCTCTCTTTCTTCTTTTATTTTTATTTTTTCAGTTGCTGCGTAGCATTTTAGAAGGATAGGAATGGATATCTTCTTCCTTTGGGTTTCGGGTATGGTTAGAATGGATATGGAGTATTAATAAATGAAGGGACAAAGAGGGACTTCTGATGAGGATGCCATTTTATTTAGCTACTTATATTTTGTGGTTGATTCGAAGTCCAGGGTTTTTTTTTTTTTCTGTTACCGGGTTTTTCATGGAGAGGCTGTAAGGTCAGATGCAATGTAGGAAACTTGGGGAGTTTCTATTGATTTTTAAATATGAAATAAGCGTTTTAGAGTCTATTGTCAATAACCCAATTGCTTGAACTGTCAATCTAATCACTCTACCCAAGAACTCATAAATTTGTAGTTTGTGATGTTTATTACATTAACTAAGCCTTGATTGACTAAGCCTTCTGATATGTGAACTTTCATCTCTGCAATCCCAGCGGGTTTGAGAAGCAGTAATCTTGTCCGGTACCTTTGCAAGAGTTCTTAGATAGTTAATTTTGATTAAAAAAGGCTGTGATTAGATGTAGAAATTAATCTTACCGAGACAAGAACATATCAGAAAGAGGATATAGCTAAAGTGTAATATTATTATCTCTACTATCGAGAATACAAAAGTACCGCCTGCTCTTATATAGAGTGGATGGTAGAACTAGTTATACATAATTACAAAGAAACCAGGAAAGTTCTGGATATATGCAGTACGCCGAATACATATATGTTTATATTCTAATATGCCCCGTCAAATTGATGGATCTTGAACTATCATCAATTTGCTCCTAAGATCTTGGAACCGAGGCGTTGAGAGTGACTTCGTAAAAATGTCAGCGATTTGATCCTTGTGCTGATCGGATGTAGAACAATGTGATTTTGTTGAATATGGTCACGTATGAATTTCTGATCAATTTCAACGTGTTTCGTCCGGGAATGAAATACTGGATTGTTGGCTAGAGCTATTGCCGACATATTGTCACAATAGAGATTTGTTGGATAGTTTTGTGAGATGCCGAAATCTGTAAGAAGCCTGCGTAGCCAGATAATATCTGACGTGAGGGCCGCCAGTGCCCTATACTCCGATTCTGTTGAAGATCGAGAAACTGTATTTTGCTTCTTTAGCGTCCAGGAAATGAGAGTGTCACCCAAGAATGAACAGAAACCAGTTGTTGATTTTCTTGTGATAGGGTCGCCGGCCCAATCCACGTCTGAAAAGGATTTTAAAACAAGATCAGTTTTAGTGATAGGTAAACCGAAGTGTAACGTACCTTTGATGTATCTGAGCAATCGTTTGAGCAAATAGAAATGTTTTTGAAGAGGTTCATGCATGTGTTGCGATAGGAGATTAACGCTAAACGAAATGTCAGGGCGAGTTAAAGTTAAATACTGTAGAGCTCCCGTAATGCTGCGATACTGTGCGGGATTTTCATTAAGGAAAACAGAGGTGTATTCAGACGGAAGCTTCGTGCACGTAGGATTTGCTAGCGGGTTGCAGAGGGTAAGATCCGCCTGCTGAAGGATCTTGAGCGCGTATTTGGCCTGAGAGAGGAAGTAAGAATTGTTAGATTTCGAAATTTTTATGCCTAAGAATTCACTTACTTGGCCAAGGCGTTTCATTGCAAATTCTGAGTCAAGTCGCGTCAGGATGTGGTTAATATGTTGTTGATTATTTCCTGTAATTAATATATCATCAACATATATAAGTAAGAAAATACTGACTTGAGCCTTGGGATAGATTAGAAGCGAAGGGTCAGCTTGACTGTGTGAGAAACCGAGCGTGAGAAGAAATGCCGTGAACCTGTTGTACCATTGGCGCGGCGCTTGTTTTAGTCCATAGATGGCTTTATTTAAGCGACATACATGTTGTGGTCTAGTGCTATCTTCAAAGCCTTTAGGTTGCTTTATATATATAGTTTCGGACAAGTTGCCATGCAAGAATGCGTTGGCTACATCCAACTGCTGCACCGGCCAGTTGAAGTATAATGCGATTGATAGCATTATACGGATGGTAGGTAGTTTAACGATCGGACTAAACGTTTCGGTATAGTCCGTGCCAAACTCTTGATTGTTACCTTGCGCAACTAGTCGTTTTTTATATTTAGCAATTGATCCATCAGTATGAAACTTTGTACGGTATGTCCAACGACTTCCGAGAATTGATGTATTTGCTGGAGGCTCTACAAGACACCATGTGCCTTGTGTTTCTGAAGGGCTAAAACTTCTTCTGACATTGCTTGACGCCAATGGATGTATTTTGCAGCCTCTGCAAACGTGGATGGATCTTGCACAATGTCTTGAGAGTTCTGCACATGAATCAGATTTAAGCGAGATGCGGGTTTAAGATATCCCGTTTTGCTTCTTGTGATCATGTGATGTTTTTGAAGCAGATGGGATTGCTGATGTTGTGAGTCGTCATTGTGAGATGCAGATAAATCCATATTAGAAATTTGTAATTCCTGAGGGACGTTCGGCTGAATATTTGACAAACTATGCTGATCACGAGACTGAGCTGAAACATTTGAAGACATACTAATAGATGCTGGTGTTAGTAATAAAGGACAAATAAAAATTTTATCAGTATTAGTAGAAGACTTGGAATTGGAGAAAGGGAACTTGTCTTCATTAAAACGAACCTGTATGGAAATCGAAATTTTGTTCGTAAGCATGTTAAGGCATTTGAATCCCTTATATACTTCGGAATAGCCAAGAAACGCACATTTTTGAGCTGACGGTTGTAGCTTGGTACGAGTTTGGGGATGAAGTAACGGATAGCATTCACAACCGAAAATTTTTAAATCATTGTAAACAGGTTTCTTGTTAAACAGAAGTTCAAGAGGGGATTTATTGTTGGTGTTAAGAGACGGTAAACGGTTAATTAAATACACTGAGGTAGTTACCGCATCGGGCCAGTAAATATGTGGCATGGAAGCTGTAAAGAGAAGTGTGCGTGTTGTTTCGATGATATGACGATGCTTCCTTTCAGCTAACCCGTTTTGTTCCGGGGTATATGGACAGGAGAGCTGATGTGTAATGCCTTGCCGTGTCAAGTAATTTTTGAATGCAGTGTTTACATATTCTGAGCCTCCGTCAGTTCGCAAGATTCTAACGCGATAATCTGTTAAGCGTTCCAGCTGGGTTTGAAAATTAACAAATGTCTGAAACACATCAGATTTATAACGTAAAGGGAAAATCCAGGTGTAACGTGAAAAGTCATCAATGAAAATGACATAAAACTTGAAACCTTGGCAAGACAACGGCGGTGCCGGGCCCCAGACATCTGAGTGAATGAGAGCTAATGGAACCGTTTGACGGTTTGCAGAACAATTAAAAACAAGCTTATGAGATTTAGATGCAATGCAAGAATCACATTGGTTTATATGAGTGTTTATTTTCAGTTTGGGGTTACAATGTGCAATAAAATCGAAAATGCGTTTGTGAGGATGGCCTAATCTATGATGCCAAGTATGAGCCGCCATCGTGGAGGCAGCAAGAGCATGATGATGATGTGCCGGAGACGCCACTGGAATCTTGTAGAGACCACTATTACATGGTCCTTGATATAAAATTTGTTGTGTCGCCAGATCCTTCAACATAAAACCAGAAGGATAAAAAATAATAGAAATGTTGTTGTCTTTTGTTAGTTGAGAAATCGACAATAAATTAAACTTAAGAGAAGGATTGTGGAGAATTTACGATAAACGCAGCTTACGAGCAGGGGTCGGGAGAATGGCCGCCCCGGTATGAGCGATGTTTACCGAGGTGCCATCACCAACTGTAATGTTATCTTGACCAAGATATGGTTGAGCGATAGACATATTGTCCATCGAGTTTGTGAGGTGAGATGAAGCACCCGAATCCAGGTACCAAGTGGAATCCGGTGGATCAGCTCCTGCTATGAGAGCTGTGGCAGAGTTCTTGCTTGAGGGAATGTATTGGGGGTTGAGCCGATGCCAATATGTTTGAGCCGAATGACCCTTTTTGTAGCAGATTTGGCAAAGAACCCCTGCATTTGAATTGGTTCGGCTTGATGTCGATGTATTTTGTTGTTCAGAGACGCGGGTTTTGTTGGCGAAGATATTTTCATTCTTGCTTCTTGATCTACGACCTCTGCCCATGTTTGTAAACAGGGCCATACTGGAATCATGAGCCGAGGAGTATCGCGCAGCATCGGAGGCGAGATTAATTTCCTCGCTGAGCAGAAGTGGATAAAGTTGATCAAGTGTCAGCGACGACGAGGTGGTTCTTATTATGGTCTTGAACGATTGTTATTGTTGTGGAAGACCATTTAGAATGTAGTGTATGATGTCTTCTTGATCCACGGTAGAACCTGCTGCGGCTATTTGATCAACAATTGCCTTGATCTCCGATAGGTAGACAGTCATGGAGTTGTTCTTGAGCGCAACATTATGTAATGCGTTTTTTAACTGGATAATCTTCGAGCGATTTGTTGCTTGAAAGCGTGTCGCAAGAGCTACCCAGATCTGTGCAGTGGAATCTAGCGAAATTACATACGGAAGAATTGAAGAGGAAATGGTAAAACAGATAGAAGCTGAGAGATTCTGATCCATTAGCACCCATTGGGTATAGCTAGGATTGATCGACGAGGAACCGTCAGGATTTTGCAGAGATTGCGAGGGAGGCGAAATGGTAGGATCAAGAAACTGAAGAAAGCCATTTGCTCTCAAAGTTTGAGAATTTGGGATTTCCAGATGAGAAAATTGTCCGGAACAAGAGGAGAAGTGACGAGGTTTCTAAGATTTAAAACCACGAATTTTAGATTAGCCGGAATCGTTGATTCATCGGACAGAGACGTCGCACTTCGATCTTGAAGGCGAGAGGAAGCTGTGTCGGTCATAGCTTAGGATCGGAAGCCTTTTCCTGATACCATGTAGAAACTAATCTTACCGAGACAAGAACATATCAGAAAGAGGATATAGCTAAAGTGTAATATTATTATCTCTACTATTGAGAATACAAAAGTACCGCCTGCTCTTATATAGAGTGGACGGTAGAACTAGTATTACATAATTACAAAGAAACCAGAAAAGTTCTGGATATATGCAGTACGCCGAATACAGATATGTTTATATTCTAATATTAGAGTTGTGTATTACTGAAATCTACCAATATCTTTGTAGGAGTCACGTCCATGTTGCTATTTTTATGATCCTGTTGTTCTATTTTCAAGCCAATTTTGAATTGAATCAACTTAATTTTATATTAGTCAAGTATAACCCTATCAATTATCAACTTAGGTTTCTTTTGGGACGGGATTTTTAATGTTTCTTGAAGCAATTTTTTAGTTAAAAAATTAAAATATTTGTACTAGAAAGCTGCTTTAAGAAGCAGTAAAAAAGCCATCCCAAACGAAGCCTTAATTAGCAGATTGTAAGAAATATCATTTTTCAATTGTTCAGAACCTAATTTGGAAGCTTTGAACTGTGGTTACTATTATTCACCTAGCTTCTCATTCTGCTAACTTACCTTCTTCCTCTGCTTAACGATTCTTACAGATAAAATTATGCCCGAAATTCAAATTTCTCATAGAGTATTGGCTCAACTTCTTCTTGGTATTGTCAAGATATTCTCAAAGAAGGTGGACTTTCTCTATGATGCGTGCAATGAGGCATTAAATCAAATGAGAAAGTCTCTTCCTTCTATACAAGGGATTGCACAGAACAAAGCTAGTGCTAGGCCAAGAAAGCGTCTCAGAGGCAATAAAGAAGTAACTTCTGCCATAGATCATGTAGCTAAGACAATGAAGGAGCATGCCAGCGAGCAACAGATAGAAACAATGCTTGCCTCATACCACGAGGTTACTGTTACTCTTCCAGATCGATTTGAACTTGATTCATTTGATTTTGGTATCTTGGATGATGGGTGAGAATGAAAAAAATCTTATAGTTCTCAAAGTTTGATTTTTTATCAATCATCTGTTCAAATTATTTTCTTTCCATGCAGAGATAATGGAGGAAGTCATCAGCATCCAACTCCTATAGGTATTTTTTTTGGAACTGCCTCTCTAATTTGTATGCTATCTTATATCTTGTATGTATGTGTCTTAACCTAGATGGTTGATAGTTGGTCTGGATGTATTTTATTCTGATAATTAGATACAAAAGGATTTCTCGCTATGTATGGGTTTCCTCAAGTAACTAGTCAATCTTATTGTTCTTTTTTTATGCCTGCTAAACGAGAGATTATTCTGTGCGGACACAAGACGGGAGAACCGTCCGGTACCAGTTTGGCACCGAGCGTCGGTACCGTGCTCGGTACCGAGCATGTTACACTTTTAGGATGACGTGGTGCATTTTTGTTGGTCTCTGGATGACGTCCAGACTCCGCACAGAATAAAGATTCCTGCTAAACAGGCAAATTTGCTTTTATTTTTATATCTGAAAGAATGGATAACATCTGAAAGTTGGGGCAATGCGCTTATGAAAAGTGAGAATGAATTGGAATTATGCCTCTCTGATTTGGATTGTTGATCTTTTTTTTACATTTTTTTAAATGCTGATATGAAATAGTTACGTTAATACCTCTTAGTTTTTTAATCCATGTTTGTGATCTAATAAAAGGCCAAATTTTCGGAACGAGCTTAACGTTTATGTAATTTAGCTGGAGTGTGATGAAGGTATAATTTAAAAAAGAGCCAATACGCACTCCTTTTTGGCGCATTCAAAGAATGCGCCGAACAAAATGGCGCATTCGCCCTTCAGAAAAGCGCATTACGTAGAAACGCGTGGAATGCACGCTTCTATCCGGCGTATTCTTTAGACTGCGCCCTTCTATCAAGCGCATTTAGTCCAGTCCACTGCCTGCCAGCGCAAAATGAGGAAAAATTGGCTTGTAGCGGGGGGCAAGATCTGCGAAATCCGCGAAAGAAGTTGGGGAGGTGCGGAAATTGATGCCGGCTGTTGAATTTGGGTGGTTGGGAGCTGATTATTGATGATGGGTTTGAAGACCGAATAGCTTTAAAAGGGGCAGTCTGCATTCGTTTTCTCCCACTCCTCCTTCAGCGAAGTTCTTTTCAAACTTTCGGTGTTAAAATTTTAAGGTATGTTTTTTTTTTAGTTTTGTATTTTCTAAGCTGTTATGTTAATGTTGTAATATTTTTGTAAGAGTTTTAGCATATGTTAGTTGAATTATTATTTATATAAGTTGTTAATGTTGAAATTTATATATCATTTTACTTTTTTTTGTTCACAGTCAGTTGAAATATAACTATAAAGTTGTAATTATATTTACAAACAAATCTACAACTTTATAGTTACATTTCAACTGACTGTGAAAAAAAAAAGTAAAATGATACATAAATTTCAACATTAACAACATACATAAATAATAATTCAACTAACCTATGCTAAAACTCTTAAAATAATATTACAACATTAACATAACAGCTTAGAAAATACAAAACTTAAAAAAAAAACATACCTTAAAAATTTAACACCGAAAGTTTGAGAAGAACTTCGCTGAAGGAGGAGTGGGAGAGTGGGAGAAAACGAATGCAGGCTGTCCCTTTTAAAGCTCTTCGGTCTTCAATCTCATCATCAATAATCATCTCCCAACCACCCAAATTCAACAGCCGACATCAATTTGCACACCTCCCCAACTGCTTTCGCGGATCTTGCCCCCCGCTACAAGCCAATTTTTCCTCATTTTGCGCTGGCAGGCAGTGGATTGGTTAAATGCGCTTGATAGAAGGGCGCAGTCTAAAGAATACGCCGGATAGAAGTGCGCATTCCACGTGTTTCTATATAATGCGCTTTTCTGAAGGGCGCATTCAAAGAATGCGCCATTTTGTTCGGCGCATTCTTTGAATGCGCCAAAAAGGAGTGCGTATTGGCTCTTTTTTAAATTATACCTTCATCGCGCTCCTTCTGCTAAATTACATAAACATTAAGCTCGTTCCGAAAATTTGGCCCTAATAAAATGTCTTTGTTGTTAAACATTTGATCTGTTCTAATTATCTTAGTTTTTGTCATAAAGCTTTTTTTTTTTGTTAGAAGTTTTATACAGCTTGGGCTCAATAGATGAACAACATGCTTAGTCTTCTTAAGTTATTTATGGGTGTGGTGTGACTCAAGTTTTCTGTGTAGCAGATGAATGGAACGACAATAGGAGTTCTAGGCCTTCATATTTGATGGAGGTATCTTACCTTGTTTTAATTAATGTTCTCATAGAAACTCATTTTTACATGCTAATGTTACTTTCTAGTTTCTATTGTATTCATTGCCAAATGATGGGAGTTTTACAAAATGCAGTGTCTCGCCAATGAGGTTGTCGGTCTTTCGGAATATAATTCTTCTTGCTTTACGCCTCTAGCTGAGTATGTAGTCCAAAGACCTTTTTTACTTTTTACTTACGAAGTACCATTGAGGATGATAACGCTTTTTCTGAATTTACTAAGTTCTGAAACTTCTATTACAGCGTTCTTCCATCCAGCATGATGGATGTTGATCTTGAGTTTAGTGATGCTCACCACAACTCAAGCAACTTTGCTAGCGTTCAGAAATCTCTGGAGAAATTGCACTATGGAGGAGAGCTTGAGAAGCCAATATGTTTATCTGGAAACCAGCCTTTACAGGATGAGATACAGGAGAGCCATGTTCCTTCAAATCATAAACAGACAGGATCTTCAATCGAAGATGAGATCCTACCTGTTGAAGAGCAAAGAAATATAACAGAGATAATCAACTTACAGGGGGAAAAGACATCAGGCATAATGAATGTTGATCCTGAGCTTAGTGAAACTCACAATCCAAGCAGCTTTACTGGATTTCAGAAATCTCTGGAGGAATTTCACCAAGGAGAAATTTTTGAGAAGCAAGCGTGTTTATCAGGAAGTGCTCATTTAGATAATGCGATCCTGGAGAGCCATATACCAGTAAATCATGAACAGGCAATGCTGCCAGATGGAGATAATATCCTATCTGTTGAAGAGCAAATAAAACTACGAGAGAAAATCAATTTACTGGAAGAGTTAACATGTAAAAGTGGGAAAGATAAATCTATCAGTGAGGAGCATCCTGATGCTTTGCCCTTAGATAAACAAAAACCAAGCATCTCAGGTATTATTCCAAAGAATTGAGCTGAAATTTGGAACGTTTGATTTTTTTTTGAATTTATTTGTTTTTTTATTACCAATTGCTGTGTTACTCAATGCAAGGTAGATTGATGACCCTTTGTTTCTTTGGTTCAGAGACAGCCTCTCCGAAATTTATGCTTCCCACTCCAGCTATTAAAGAAAGCTCTCGGGTGTTGAGGAAGAGAAAGAAGAAATATGAAGAATGCATCATTCTGTCGAATGAGTGAGTATTGCTTTTTAATGATATAAGCAAATTGTATTGTAACTGATTGGGCGTTTCACTCAGGATTCATAGCTTTGTGCCAAATTCTAATTGTCTCTCTGTTTCCCATTTTTACCATTAGATCTCTCAAATTTAATCTTTTTTTTTTTTCTTTGAATTCCTCATTGTTCTAAAAGATAAATTAATGGCTAAATGACCAAATGCCCTCCCTATCGGATCAATTTCAAATAGTAGAAAAGTATGCAGTAGAAATATCAAGTTGTTATTCCTCTGTCATATGTTCTTGAATAGTTGAACAAATTCAGGATTTGATCACTAGTATATAAAGTTAAATTTCAACACCTCTTGGTCCCACTCCTTATTAAGTAGTATTAGAGTTAATGGTTCAACTGAGTTTGAATAATTTATGTGATTTGTAGGTCTCATAAGTATTTAGTACCTTCTTTTAGGGCTGGCTTAGATTTTGCAATTGGTGACTCTCATAGTGGGGCATCATGTGGGTATGGAGAGCTCTAAGATCATCTGCAACCGAACTGCATGCCACCGTATGCCCTTGGCCATTCGGTCCATTCGAACTCCAAATGTTATGCCAAAGTTAGGCAAGTGAATAGTGCGACACCAATATTGGCGCCGAACTGTTCACCTACGCCAAATAATTGGGCTACATGATTTGCTCAAGAAGCGCACAAAAGAGTGGAAAAGCACATGAAAGATGAGAAAATGGTTACCTTTGTAGGAAATGCTTGAAAGAAGAGAGAAAATGCCGTTCGATTGGAGATGAATTACTGCATTTTAAAATTTTGCTGCATTTTGGAGTGGAAAATGAGTTTTTCCTTTGGAGATGCCCTAATGTGGAGGAGAATTTTAAGGCACATAGGCATTTGGTTTAGAATTATATAGGATGGTTGAAAAATATATTGATGTAGAAATACTAACAGTTAGTTCTCATCCATAAATTTTTGGGCTTATAGCTGGTACTAATTTATCAAGCTCAAATTCAATCCCTCATCAGACAGCATTAATTTATGCATCTTTTTGGAGCATAACTCTATTGCATAAAAAATATGTTGAAATTAGATTATGCGTTCTTTTTGGACATAGCATGTAATTTTTATTTGATGATTTTGAATTTCCCATCTTTTTCTTGCTTTTGGCAGGGTTATGAGGCAAAGCATACATGACGCAAGTGATTTACTATGTAAACGAAGGAAATTACCTCATACTTATCTTGACATTTGGAAGTTCTCGAGATTCTCAAATAGTTGCCAGAGTTTTACCGATCCTTTGATTCCTTGTATGCTTAGTCCTCTTTATCTTTTTGCTTTGGAGCACCTTAGCGCACTAGTTTTCACAATTTTCATGACTAACATTAATGAGCTAGTTTCTGTCACAGTTTCTGCTCCAGCACAAGAAAAACTGCCTCAGAAGTCATTGCAACAACTTTCAAAGAAATCTGCAGATGGCGTTATTGATTCAACCAACTTGAAAGATGGAATGCCTCATGAATCTTCAAATACGGAAATAGAAACAGAAGGCTTGATGCAAAAAATGGACAAAATGCCAGAAGCTTCGATGCCAAATCTGGACAGAATATCTCATTATCTGCCAAAGGAATCTACAGTTTGCCATATCGATCCAACCAACATGGAAGATAGCATGCCTCATATCGATCCAACCAACATAGAAACAGAAGTTTTGATGCAAAAACTAAACAGGACCTGTCTAACCCCACCGAATTCCTTAGACCACAGAGCTAATTCCCTGGAAACTGTTAGCAAAGAGTTCACTTCGCCAGAAGCTTCAGATAATCAATTGGAAATGACGGTACAGTTTGACTTTGAAGTTTCGTTTGGGATGACTTTCTTGTTGCTTCTTAAAGCAGCTTTCTAGTATAAAAATTTTAATTTGTTTACTGAAAAGCTGATTTAAGAAGCAACAAAAAAGCCGTCCCAAATGAGAAGCCTGAGTATGCATATAAATTTTCTATCTGAGGTTTACTAGGTTTCATAAAATTGCTGTGTTTGTTCAGGAGCTTTGCTTTCTTGGGGATGATATTGATAAACAAGGTATTCATTCATTTAAACAGTGTTATGCACATCAATTTCTGTTGTCCTTCAGTTCCATATTCATTCTTTCATTGTCTTGCAGATAATGGATGGTCACCAAGTACAAGGTAGGTAGACATATTAATTAAGGCTTCGTTTGAGATGGCTTTCTTGTTGTTTCTTAAAGCTATTTTTTAGTACAAAAATTAAAAAAATTGTACTAAGAAACTACTTTAAAAAGCAGTAAGAAAGCCGTCCCAAATGAAGCCTAAATGTCCTCTTAACTTGAATGTTATTGAAATTTTGGCTACATCATATTTCACAGAGCAGCAGCACAGTACCTTTATAATAGGTTTCTGAGACTAAGGGAGCAAAAACAAGATATGGCTTTGAGTTTGGCACAGATTCTTGAAGGAAAAACAAGAGCAACATGTGCCAGATTCATTTACGAGGCACTGGTATTGTTCATACTGCCTCATATTTTTTATAGTTCATACAAGAAGACCAATATTTTTCTACAGTTTCTTTGCATGTGATGATGACTCTGTTGCGCCATTTAAGTTATATAATTTGTTTTGGTTTTTTCAGACATTGAAGACATATGGATGCATAGATGTTATACAGAACATTCCTTATGGTGATGTCTCTATATCTGCAACTCCAGTACTGGAGTCTTTTCATAAAGTTTCCATGTGAGGAGGCTTTTGTTACAAAGGAAGTTTTGCAGGAATCCATTTTTGTATATCTCCATGCTTTATTTTATCTCGGACTCCTTTTTTTTTTTTATCTGTCGCTGTAAATTCAAGATTTTCTTTGGCTTTGTGAAAAAAAAAAAGTTTTTTATTGAGGAAATAGCCTTTGAAGTCTTAAATAGAAAGCTTGTTTTTAAAAAAAAATTATGTTTTAGACTTTATTTATTTATTGTGTATGTTTTAAGCTATATATGACTGTTTTTAGAGGTCTTGCTGCAATTTTCATTAGAACCTTCTTGAATGTTCTACCAGACGAGAATGATAATGGAGCGACCAAATTTCTAATGCCCTAAAATATCTTTGCTAATGCTACAAAATGACTTATATATGAGGGAAGCTTATGGTATTAATTATGTTTGAAAGGTAAAATTTGTTTGATAATCATTTACATTTTAACCGATATTCATTTTATGATGTAATAAAAAAGTTAAATTTGAATATTTTTTATAATTAATAATTTTGATTATGGATTAGGGTTTGTGACAATACAGGAAAATATATATTATATATTTTACAAGATAAAAAAAAATCAAATTCTTTTATATAATCACTAAAAAGAGATATTTATCGAAGATCTTGATTGTGTCTGTAACATTACATATGAATGAGCTCAAAGACTTAGGCTTTGTTAGTGATGATTTTTTGCTGTTTTTTAAAATAGATTTTTATGTAAAAATTAAAATTTTATACTAGAAAGTTGTTTTAAGAAGCAATAAGAAAATAATTTCAAACAAAACTTTAGGCTTCGTTTTGGGATAATTTTCTTTCTACTTCTTAGTGTAGTTTTTTAGTTAAAGAAACAAAATTTTTTAATAGAAATTTATTTTAAGAAGCAAAAAAAATGTCATTCCAAACAAATTCTTAGAACTCATTTTGAATGTATAATTCCGTCTGCATTAAAGAAAGGGAAAATTCTTAAGATCATGACATTCCAATTTAATTTGAAACATGATGAGATTAAAAGAGTTATAAATATTTAATGTCTTCAAAAATTTTACATAATCACATAAATATGAATGCATTTTTTGCGTTAGAAAATTTTAAAATTAAGTGTAAGACTACTCAAACTCTAATTTCAAACAAATTTGTAGTCAAATTGAATGTTTCGACAAGATGAACTCAACGATATCAAAATAGATTCGAATCCAACTGAATTTAAATCAAGCACTTGAAACATATTTGAAAATTTCAGATCATCAATTGAATAATTAAATGACCTTTAAATCTTTCTTGTTTATATTCAAATAGAGTAGTTCCATGAGACGAATCAAATAGACCAAAATTGCTTGATCATGAGATTTCCAAAGGAACCTAAATTGTGAATTGTTGCGGACTAGAATATACGTGGTGGTAGAATTAAGAAAATTTCGTCTCAGGGTTGTACGGATATCTAGCACACAAACAAAGGAGAAATAACACCAGAATTTTTACGTGGAAACCCTGAAAGGGAAAAAACAACGGGTCACGCCCAGTTGAAAATAATTCTACTAGTATTTGTTTGAAGTACAAAAAGGCTGACTCGTCCACCAAAGTTAGGACGATCAGATTGCAATGAATCTCTTCTGAATTGAGATTCAGTTACAAAGTTGAGCAGAGTTCTGGCGTCACCCGGGCATCCAGAAGAATTCCGGCGTTACTCAGGCGGCGGGAAGAACTCCGGCGGTGGTCGATGAGGAGTTATTCTCTCCTATCATTCTCTTCTTATCTTCTTCTCTTCTTCTTGTTTGGGTCCCCTCTCATGAGAAATGAGGGGTCTATTTATAGATTTTCTGGAGTGGCATAGCTTGTAAATAAGTGTGAGATCAGGGGAAAATAGGGAGTGGTCGAATGGACGGTTGATATTGAATCCCTTGATCGTATATTGTTCGTTAGACATTTGAAGGTTTTAATGATGTCGAAATGCACTGATCTTTGGCTCGTTAGATTTGTCTCGTCGAGCCGTTCGATTCGACTATAAGCTCGTTAAAATTGGAGATCGTTTGGTAACTCAAATTGCGGTATGAACTTTTCAACAACACTTTGGGTGCTTGATATGGGCTCATTTGGGCTCGGATTAAGTTGAATTTGGTGTCGTTAGGTTTGTATTTCTGTGACGCTCAGTTTGATTATAAGTTTGTTGAAATCAGAGTTCAGGTGGTCCCAGATTTAATTTTTGAAGTTTTTGGGTTGATTTTGCCTCGATATTCGTGCTCGATCAAGATAATTGTTTGATTATATATTAGTTGCCCCGTATTTTCGGACATCAAAGCTCCAGGAGTCCGAAAATATATGTGTCGACATTTCATACTGGCCGAATCGCAAAAAATTGAGTTCTAAAAATTAATAGCTTGCTCAAACTTGATCATAGAGGCCCCAGTTGAGCTCCGAAAGTGTCGAAATCGAGTCCGGAACGTCGAAAAAAATGTCCGGGGACCCTAAAATCGTCCGATTCGGACCGTCCAGGCCGAAAATCGGGCCTGGACACGCGTAGGCGACTAAACAGGCGCACCCCATGGGGCACGCGGTTGCAGCTCTGGCTGGCAGTTGCTGGCCGGCGGTTGGTCGAAATTCGAATTTTGAATTTTTTTATTCGTATTTTATCGTGTGGGGCACAAAAAATTCAGAAAAAATTTAAAATTCTAGTGAACTCTAGAAACTTCCCCCTTCTTTCACAAAAAACTATAAATAATACCCCTAAGGTCTATAGAAAAATTGTCAATTCTCTTCTTCTCCCTCTAGCACTCTGACAGTTGAGGCTTTTCACTATTTTTCAGTAGGTTACTTTCCCTACTTTATTTAGCGTCCCTCCTCTCGTACATAAGTTAGAATTTTCTCATCTTTCTCTCCTTCTAGCTTTCTGCTATTTTTTAGTAGGTGACTTTCCCTATTTGATTCGGCGCCCCTCCTCTTATACAGAAATTAGAATTTTATGCACTTTTTCTTCTTCTGGCTTTCTGACAGTTGAGGCTTTCCGCTATTTTTCGTAGGTGATTTTCCTTACTTAAATCGGCGCCCCTCCTTTCGTACATAAGTTAGAATTTTCTCCTCTTTCTCTCATTCTGGCTTTCTAACATTTGAGGCTTTACATTGTTTTTCGTAGGTGATTTTCCCTACTTAAAACGGTGCCCTTCCTCGTGTGTAGAAGTTAGAATTTTTTGCAGTCGTTTCTTTTCTTCTTCTCTGGTCTTCTTCTTACAGTTGAGGCATTCCACTATTTTTTATAAGTGATTTTCCCTACTTAACTTAGCTCCCCTCCTCTCGTACAGAAGTTAGAATTTTCTCCTCTTTCTCTCCTTTTCGCTTTCTGACAGTTGAGGCTTTTCGTTATTTTTCGTAGGTGATTTTCCCTACTTAAATCGGTGCCCCTACTCTCGTATAGAAGTTAAATTTTTGCAGCCTTTTTTTTTCTTTCTCCTCACTCATTCTAACTTTCTTACAGTTGAGGCATTCTCCTGATTGTTGTAGGCGTCATCCCCTACTAAAATTCAGGGCCCCTCTTTGTGCATAAAAATTAGAATTTTTAGAGTCGTTCCTTTTCTTCTTCTCTTGTCTTCTTCTTATATTGGAGGTATTCTACTGTCGGAGATAGGAGACATTCCCCTATCAAGGTTCAGTGCCCCTCTCTTGTATAGAAGAAGTCGTGATGAGAGGTATCTTCTTAATAGATATACTCGTGACAAAAAAGATCTATTGGTACTTGTATGAGAGGGCGATTTGAGAAGGTTTGGCGATAATGTTTTCCTTGAGGAGAATCAGAAGTGATGAGTTGACGGGGAGAATTTTGATGTTGTTTGAACGAAAGTTTGTCGATGATGAACGATCGAGTTGAAGCGCATTAGCAGTCAACGACCGAGTGTAAAGTTGAAGGAGAGAGTTTTAGGGTGCGCTGCTAGTAATAGTCGAGCGAGAAGTCGATGATGGTGGATATGAAGGAAAGGACCAACAACGAAGATCGGACGAAGGGCCGATGATGACGGTGGTCCTGTTGCATTCTGCTAAGGCGTTATATATATCCATATTGACATGTGCAGACATCAAAAAATTTTCCTTTCTTTGAAGAAGTTATAGGAGATGCTTGTGTGCAGCAGAGAATAAGTCAGTTAAATCCACCAAGGATTTTTTAT